CTTTTAGTTACCTTAAAATGTACAGTAAGCACACAGTGGAAGAGCTGTGATAATGTCCGGCACACAGGTGCACTACTTTTGTGATTTGTTTGTATCTGAAAGTTTGTAACATGAATATTTGAATGTTCATTCATTGTTGATTAAATCAGGGATTTAGTGTAAAGACAAAGTCATTAGAATTATAGGAAACTTCTCCAACATAAACTTTGTAGGAGAAAAGAGCTTGGAGTCAGCTGACTCAAGCTCTAAAAGAAGATATCATGTATTCCAGAATGTAAAATTATCTCTGAAAATTGATGGAAAAATCAAGTCTTTCCATGACAAAGAGCACCTTAAGAAATCCGTGACAACCATATCAGCATTCCAAAAAACGTTCTCAGTAATGTTCTGCAAACAGACAATGAAATCAACAATGGCAAAAGATCTAACCGAATGAATATATACCAGACATGGTGAGCACTTAACCAAAAGATGTAAACATACACTTAATATGCTTGAAGATAAAATATGTAAAATATTTAAAGACGTAGAAATGTAGGTAAGAACTTCCTGAACTGAACCCCAGATGCACAAGAAATAAGAATCAACAAATGGGATCATATCAAAATAAAAAAAAGCTTCTGCAAATAAATAAATAAAATCTTTAAAAAGCTTCTGCAAAAAAATTAATTTTAAAAAAGCTGCATAGCAAAGGAAATGAGAGTGAAGAGACAACCTACGGAATGAGGAAAAAAATATTGCTAATTATTCGTGAGACAAATACCTAGAATATATAAAGATCTCAAAAATTAGATCATCCTCACAAATTAAAAGACACAGTTAAAAATTGAGCAACTGAAAGGAATAGACAGTTCTGAGAAGTACAAATGACCAAAAAATACATGAAAAAATGTTCGAAGTTACTGACCATTCAAGAAAGGCAAATTAAAACAGTAAGATTCTACCTTACTTAAGAAAGAATGGTGATCTTCAAGAAATCAAATAATGACAAACATTGGTGAAACTACAGGGGGGAAAGGACCTTTATACATTAGTATGTAAGCTAGTTATTATGGAGCTTCCTCAATAAACTAAAACTAGAAATTCCATTTAAATCAGATATTCTAGATGAAGAATTGGGGTTGGGGATATAGCTTAGTGGCACAAGCGCCTGCCTGGGAAGCGTGAGGTTGTGAGTTCAATCCCCAGTTAAAAAAAAAAAAATTCATCTAGGTGAAGAATCAAACACTTTTCATAGTGATATTTGCATATTCATGTTTATAGCAGCATAACTAAAAATAACAGAATCTTGGACACAGCCTGTATGTGCACCAACAACAAATGAATGAATGAATAAAGTGTCAAATTTATATACTATTGAGTACTACGCTGACATAAAGAAAGAAAAGCATGAGTCATTTGTAGGAAAATAGATTCACCTTGAGACCATAATAGTAAGTGAAAAAAGTAAGCACACAAAGTTAAATATCTCTTGGTATTTCTTATATGAAAAGCCCAAAATATAAATAAAGGATCAAAGATTGATTATAGAAGGTTGGCAGATTTGTAATGGGAAAACCACAAAATGGAGAGGGAGAAAGTAGTAGATAGGAAAGGGATTAAAAAAAAAAAAAGATGAGTTGTGTACATGTATCATCTTCCCACAAAGAATGTATAGTTATGTATTGCAAACATGTACTACCAAAAAAAAAAAAAAAAAAAAAAAGACCTGAGAAAAACAGATCAGAAGCCCAAAAGTACAGAAGCTTTGTGTTGCCCTCTGATGCCCACTGCCTCCCCCAACACTCAATATACACATATCTGTTCTGTTTCCAAAATGTTAATCATTTCACTTGTCATGTAAATGCAACCATCCAGTTTGTAAAATGAGTTGTTTACGAAAGATAAATAAATCCTGGACATAGCTTAGTGATTCAGTGTCTGCCTGGCCAGTGAGAAGTCCAGAGTTTGATTCCTGGTACTTGTCAAAAAAAAGAAAGAAAGAAAGAAAAGGAAAGTCAACAAAATTCAGAAACTTATTGCTTAGTTAGAAAAAGAGGGGGCTCAAATAAATTCAAAGAAAATAAGACATTACAACTGATGTCACCGAGATCAAAACATTATAAGAGATCCCTGTGACCAAGTATATATCAACAGTAAAACTTAAATGAAATGGTTACCTTTTTAGAAACATTGGGTCTACCAAGTCTGATTTCCAATGAGATGGAACATCTGAACAGACAGGAATGATCAGAGACTAAATCAGTAACAAAAAATGCCCCCCCCCCAAAAGCCTAGAACCTGATAGCTTCACAGACATACTATAAAAAACATTTAAAGAATAAATAATAACAATTTTCAAAATCCTCCATTATTGCAGGGAAAAGATACCCTGAAATTCATTTTATGAGAGTAGCAGTACTGTCTTGTCTACAGCCCTGCTGTGCTAGGCCAGTGGAGTAGGTTCCTTACTTAAGAAAATACTCAGAGTTAGTTGTGAAAGAGATTTTTTAAGGCTCACTTACAGAAAGAAAGCATTAGTAGATATTTAACTAATTGGGAAGAGCTGCTTAGGGTTCTAGTATCACTACTAGGAAGGCCTACAAGAGGGACAAACCTTGTAGGAGCTCTGCTTTGTAAATTGTCAGGGGACTCATATTCAAAAGTAGTGATGCTCAATAAAGTCAACAGGGGGTACAAAGCATACCACCTTCCTGGAGATCCAGTTATCATGGTCTGAACAACTATTCAGAGTGTTGGTGATAGCTGCCTTGACTAGTATCACTTACTCTCTCTGTAGTTCTTTGTTGTATACCCCATGTACCACAGAGATGGGTTTTATACATTAAGCAACAGATGCGCAAGAGCGCTTTCCTCAGATAATACCAGTTCATTCCATTCTGTATGCACTTACATTCAGTGGGTGGTCTAGATCTTTGTTTACAGGGTCCCTTTTATTCACAAGAGTCTTAAAAATGCAAAGGAGCATCTCAGGTACATCTTGCTAAATGCTCTATTTTTCGTCAGCGATAAATACATATAACATGATACCAAAACTAAAGACCTTTACAAGAAAATAAAATTAATCATCAGTATACATGCAGTACATAGATGTGAACATCTTGAACAGTATACTAGCAAACTGAATTCAACATCATATTAAAAGGATCCTTCACCATTATCAAGTGGGGTTTATCCTGGGATCTGGGAATGTAAGTATCATTCAACATATGCAGATCAGTAAATGTGATAGCATTAAAGAGTGAAGTACAAAATGCATATGACCACATCATCACATGCAGAAAAAGTATTTGATAAAGAGAGAGAGAAAAAAATAGCTGAGCTACAAGTGCTGGCAGTATATCTTCTCCAGGACAAAGTGTCCAGAGTTCTGAAAACAGTAGCTTGAGAGGAAGTGAGAGGGGGTTACTTGGAGACCAGGAGGGACCTGACAAAGGAGAAGAAAATAAGGCTAAGTGACACAGAAGAAATAGAATGTATCGCTAAGCATAGAGGAGACTCAGACACTGCAGACCCTATCATGGAAGGTGACTGGCCACCTGAAAGGAGATTGGATTTTCAGACATACCTGCTTTCCTACCTGCATGTTCACTGCAGTTCACTGCACAGTATGGAATCAACCTAAGTAAGTATCTATTTCCTAATGAATGAAAAGGGAAAATAGAGACTATATACAAAATGGGATACTACTCAGCTTTAAAAAGAAGGAAATCTTGTCATTAGTGATAATATGGGTAAACCTGGAGGACATTGTTAAGTGAAACAAGTCAGACACAAAAATATCCATATTCTTACATGTGGAATGTAAAAGAATCAAAAGTCATAGCGACAGAAAGTAGAATGGTGGTTACCACTGGTTTGCAGGAGAAAAAGCAGATTGGAGAGATACTAGACATTAAAAATTTATTTGGAGAAAGTAACTCAAAAGTTCTAGTGTATATTGTAGTAACGATTGTTAGTTTTGTATCATGTATTTGAAAACTGCTAATAGATTTTTTTTAAAAAACAATTTTTTAAAAAATTTTATTTAAGGAGAAAAAAAGAAGAAAAAGGGTATAAGTTATACAGAATTTCAGAAAAAAATAAACAGTGGGAAATCACTAGTTAATGGATTGTCATCTTAGAAATATTTAAGTTACAAAATTAGAAAACTGCTAATAGATTTTTGTAGTATCAGGAATCAAACTCAGGACCTTGCGCTTGTCAGGCAGACACTGTGCCACTGAGCTATATCCCTGGCCCTTAGAGTAGATTTTAAGTGTTCTCACCATAAAAAATATATGTAAGGTGGGGCTGGGGATTTAGCTCAGCGGCATCAGCGCCTGCCTTGCAAGCAGGCAGTCATGAGTTCGATCCCCAGTACCAATAAAAAGGAAAAAGACCAAAAAATAAAAAATAAAATTATATATATATATATGTAGGGTAACAGTTTATTAGTTTGATTTAACCATCATGCATGGTTTGTGGTTATTAAAACATGCATACCATTAATGTATATCTCTTTACTAGCTTAATCTTTTAAAAATAAAATTTTGTAGCATGAGACAGATTGACAGTTTTAGTGCAAGTAGACAATTCATTTTAGAAATATAATTTGCTTTGTGTGTTATTGGTTGTGTTGAACCTAACTGCTGCTGTAAATTTATTTCAAATGTTAAAACTATCTTTTAAAGTTTTTTTTTTTTTTTTCTTTCTTGGTTTTTGAGAGCCAGAGCTCACCATGTAGTTCAGGCTGGACTTGAACTCATTATGTAGTCTAGCCTGACCTCAAACTTACAGCAATTCTTATGCCTCAGTCTTCTGATTGCTGGGATTATAGGTGTGGGCCACTATACCTGGCTTGTAAAATTGATTGTTCTAAACAGATTCTACAAAAGAGAAAAAGAATGACGAAAGATGGATGAACTTTGTGTTTGGTACTTGCTTTGTCCCTGAATCAAATCTGTGGTTGTATTATTTACTATGATCAAGAAATATTTGTATTTGTAATTATCTTTCAGTATCTCTGTGAGTGTCAATTTGATGACAATCTTAAATTCAAGAATATTATTAATGAAGAAGATGCTGATGCTATGCGACTCCAACCAATTGGGCGAGACAAGGATGGCCTTATGTATTGGTACCAGTTGGATCAAGATCACAATGTCAGAATGTACATAGAAGAACAAGATGATCAAGATGGCTCTTCATGGAAATGCATTGTCAGGTAGCTTTTATTGCAATCTCTTGAAATTTATTTATATTGTTCTTTGATCTCTAGTAGACTGATCTTTGAGGTGTGAACATGGTCCTTTTTTATGGAGTTGGTGAGTTGGCTGGGCAGGCACCTAATTATTCATCAAATAAATTTAAGCATTTAGAAATTAGATTTTAGGATATAAATTTTGTCCACACAGAAGAACATATTTTTAAACAAAACAATAAAGTTTGGTTTTTAATTTGGCCTGTTTATCTTGACACAGGTCACCTATGTTTCATGTGTATGCATTTTTGGGGTTCTGACAAAGATTGTGGTTTTTATTATAATTCATTTAAAGTTTTAAATTTGTTTTGACAAGTATATATCAAGAGAATCATTTAATGCATGGCCTTGACACATAACTTCTTAAATTTTTTAATAGTGATACTGAGATCCTTATTCAAAATGTCAGTCAGTATCTTTAATTTTTCTATCTTTGTAACTTTATTTAAAAGCTGTCATTCAAATACCCACAGTGTATATTAATTTTGAAAATACCAAGGGTTCTACAAAGTAGTGAGAACTCATGAGTAGCTTAACTGCTGAATTCCATAAAGTTCCTTTTATATTTGTGCTTATCTTGTTTTGCTCCATTTTGAATTTTTGGATTTTTAAAAAATAATTACTTAAAATTAACAGTACTTGTTTAGGTCACAAATGCTAGAGTTTTGTTCTCTGAGGTTTATTGAATAAATTCAGTGAGGATTGTTTTATAAGCAAGTATAACTACATGATTCTCCTTGTAATTAATTTCTTTAATGGTACCAGTGTATTTCTGAAATAAAATTTACTCATGTCTTTCTCTATGAGTGCTAACACTTACTGTGGTTGTGTTCATGATATGATTTTATTATGGTGTCTTCCATTGTCCACATCAACTTTGCATGGTTGTTTAGAAGTATTTTTCTCTTAATTTGTAGATTAAAAAATGACAAAAATTATCATGATTATTGTTAATCAGTCATGCTTAGTACATTTTGTAAAGTTCTGTATTTTAAGGAGATCATACTGTACTGTATGATGTGAGATTTTTGAGTTAACAATTATGCTTGAATCTATTTATACCATGTATAGGCATATTAATATTACTTCATTTTCCTTAGAGTTATTGTCTGTACACTAAAAGAAGAATGACACATTTCCCAAAACACTTTACGGCGTGTGTCACATATCCTGGGACCATAGTATAGACTCAGTAAACATTTGTTTTCTTCCCATCTCTTTAAATATTAAAATTCGTCACATTTCTAATCTCAGATTTCAAACTTATTGTCTTTATTGAAGAAATATTTTTCAGCAGGAAGGTCAGAATTTCATTGACATTGCTTTTGTCTTTTTCTCCTTTAACTTCCCCTCAGGTTTTACTGTTTATTTCTCACATTAACAACCATAGATTTCTTTAGTGAAGTGGTACCAGGTTCTTTTTCATCATTTGAAACACCTGTGAATATGTTACTTCTCTCTTTAAATGTACCAGAGAATGTTACACAAAGAAATAGAAATATTCAGGGCCATTAATAAACCATTGGATTTATGGACTCTTGATTTCCCCTTCTAAATCCAATTTTTAAACATGTAATGGACACAGTATTTATTTCATTGAATGTGTAAATTTATATATTGCAGGGCTGGGGATTTAGCTCAGCGGCATAAGCGCCTGCCTTGCAAGCAGGCAGTTGTTCGATCCCTGGTACCAATAAAAACGAAAAAGACCAAAAAAAAAAATTACATATTTTTTGTACTGGTATTGTGGCAAGCAGTAGGAGTATGGCAGTTAATAGTTGTATCTTTGGGGACTTCTTCCTGGCTTTTAAGCATCTTTCAGGTCCATTATATGGTGAGGAGTTTGTTGTATATTGTGTTTTCTCTAGAAGAAGGTAGTTTTCAGATTATCATGTGAGTGCATTTCTGCTTAATATTGTAACTGAGAAGTCTTGTGATACGGCATTTTAGTTAGGTTTAACTCATTAATACAGTAGAACTACTATTGACAAAAATTGTGAGCCTTGTGTGCTCTCATTTTGTGAAAGCTAAACATTAAAAGCAATGTGGGTTTTTTTGTTTTTGTTTTGGTTTTGGTTTTCTTGAGACAGGGTCTCTCTATGCAGTTCAGGCCGACCTTGAGCTCACTTTGTAGCCCATGCTGGTCTCAACTCACAACGACCCTCCTGCCTCACATTACAGGCATGAGCCACTATGCCCAGCCACTGTATTATTTTCAATTCCTCAGAAAAATCTGGGTTAGGGAGGTAGCTCTGTCAAACACTTGCTTAACATGCTTGAGGTCCTATGTTTGTTCCCCAGCACAACGCACAAAAGATATCACTTGTCATTTGGTACTCAAAATAATGTATGTGTGACCCCACTGGAATTGTGCCTGGTATACAGTATTTAAATTCTTATGTTAGACTTTAGGAATAATGTTGACATAGAAAACCCAATGGAGATGATGAAATGAAATGAAATGCTTGATTTAGCAGCAATTTAGGGATGCACAGCTTTTTCAAATATTTAAAGGACTAACTTGTAAAATACTTTCTCAAGATCTTAAATGTGATCATTAAATGTCCATTAAGATTACACAAAATTACAAAATTGCTTTTAAGAAATCCATCAGAGTGCTGTGGATTTAGCTCAGCGGCATAAGTACCTGCCTTGCAAGCATGTGGTCATGAGTTTGATCCCCGGTACCAATAAATAAAAAAAAAAAAGAAATCCATCAGAAACTTGGTAAGAGCAAGTCACAAAAAATTGACGTTCAAATAAAAGTGCAGTGGAGAAAAGAGAAAAAAAAAAAGAGCAAATGAAGGGCATAGAATTTTGGTTTTTCATTTAGGTTGCATGTAGATATTTGTCTGAACTTACTGAATACTGTATTTTACTGGTAAAATGGAAAGCATGCTTCTTTTGCTTAAAAGTATTTTTAAAGTATACCGTTACTTTCTTGGAGATCAGCTGGCATTGGAAACATGTTTCTGGCCTGATTCGTTGACCTAACTGTATAACAAAAATCAAGTAGTCTTTTGAATTTGGGTGTTTTTTTTCTTATTTTTTAGAATTCTGTTTTTGTTTTGCTTTTGTGGTATTGGGGATTGGATCGTCGACTTTTTTTTTTTTCCACTTCTCAAAGGAAGTTTTATTGAGCAAAATCATAAGGTGGGTATTATGTGGGTCAAACTGATTGATAGAATTGTGGCGCGGCTTAAAAGATAAGAAGTATGAGGGGCTGGAGATTTAGCTCAGTGGCATAAGCGCCTGCCTTGTAAGCAGGCAGTCATGAGTTTGATCCCCGGTACCAATAAAAAAGAAAAAGACACACAAAAAAACCAAGTATGAAATATAAATGACCTTTAAGAATGCGGGGAGAAGACCCCCCCCCCCCCAACCACCAGGGTCCCTCATAGTCCCTGGGGGCTGGCAGTCTCTCCCTGGGGTTGGGGAATCTCTCTGTCAGACAGGTGGAGTGGGGCATACATGTAGCTTAGGTTTGGGGTGGTGCCTGAGGGGCACAGTGATGTGCAGGTAGCCCATTGGTATTCATTTCGCGCCAGAGGCAAATTCCTAGGGGTGGGGAAGATAGAGCCATGGGTAAATTCCTAGGGGCAGAGAAGATGGAACTCCTTGCTTGGCCTCGATGGCCTTAGGGTCTACAGTGTCCGGCCTAGGGCAAGATTCTTTCATTCCTGTCTTATGATTATTAGGAAAAAGGGTAAAGATTTCCTTTTACTGCTTCTGCTGGAAGGGGGCGCTGTACTGGGGTTTAGGGGAGTCGATGGGGTGACCATTGATGCCCATATAGAAGCTGGTACCAGGTGTTTTAGCTAGGACAACTTCATCACTGGTGAATGCACATTTGTTAGAGTGGAAAAACAAACAGACAAAATGTTATGAGGAGGCATGGCACTATCGTATTTAAGTACCCAGGTGAGGTAAAAGGAAAGGTGCCTTTGATTTTGATATGTCATTATATCAGGGCCATGTTGAGGTAGAATCATTGCCACCGTAAGGTAGAATTCTGAAAAATAAATGTGTGTTTAGGAGTGAAGTTATGAGAGGTGATTACTACCCCATCTGAAAGGGTAAAAGTTAAGAGGGTAGGTAGGTAAGGCTTGTCTCTGGTATGCATGATGTGGGAGTCTTTAGGAAATACTGTTGAGAGTCCTGCTGTAAAAAAAGGATAAGAAATTAGGAACCAAATTGGATAACAAAACCTGACAGCCTGAGAGTTGTGGCTGTGAGGCCTTGGTGAGATGGAGATGAGTAGGCAAAAGGATGGTTAGATTTAGGGCTGGAAGGGCACCACTTAGCCTGAGTGATGTGAAACCAGGATGGCAGTCTAGCAACTTTGATCACTGTTGAGGTTGCCAGGAATACCAGGGATGGGTCGCTCTAACTTGGTTGTAGTCCTTGGAATGATTTGCTGTAACAGGACTTGAGTAAGTATATCAGCTTTTTTCTTTTCTTTTTTTCCAGTACTGGGGGTCGAACTCACGAGCGCCTGCTTCCAGGGCAGGTGCTTACGCCGCTGAGCTAAATTCCCAGCCCCAGTATATCAGCTTATTATACAACAAAAATCAAAGTCTTTTGAATTAGGGTGTTTTTTTTCCTTATTTTTTAGAATTCTGTTTTTGTTTTGCTTTTGTGGTACTGGGGATTGGATCCAGGATGTTCTCACTGAGCTACTTCTTCAACCCTTTTTGTTTGTTGAGATTTGATCTTTACGTAGCTGCCCAAGACAGGCTTGAACTTGAAATCTTTGTGTTGTAGCCTCCTGTTCTGCTGTGTGCACAGTTTTTTGTTTAACATAGTAAGTCAATGTTTTGGATATATTTAGAAACTGATACCTTTCTAATATCAACTGATATGTTTAGAAATATAACTGAGCATCTCAACTTAAAAGTCAAATGAAAGCCAGGCTTGTAGCCTGTGCCTGTAATCTTTCCCTTCTAAAAGGTAGACAAGGATTG